ATTTTCTTCAAATGTTGTAAATAGTTTATTCCTGGCCTAAAAACGAGTTTACTGCAGTTAGAACTGCCAACAAAAATCTAATTACTGTACATAGAAATATGAAACTGAAAGTCACATTTCTTTAACATTAGTCTTATGGGTTGCTAAGTAACCATCTTGGCTGAATTAAATAACAAGGAAAAGTAAACAAAAGAGTTGTAAGTTGTCTATCCACGGTATACTAGCAAAACAAAATACAGTAGAAAAGGAAAAACATCAGTTGTTACTATTTAGCAAAGATTATACTAACTCGATACATTGTAGTCAAGGGTAGCAGTGTGGAGTGTGGGATCTGTTTATGACGATTAGATTACGGTATCTGCAATCCTTAAATGCTATGGGAAGGGAAAGAAACAGGTCCGCGACGTAGGAAGTACTGAAGGAAGTAGTAAAGGCGAGCAGTCCGGAGTGTGGGAACTGTTTATGACGATTAGATTACAGTAAGATATCTGCAATCCAAAAATGCTATGGGAAGGGAGGGAAACAGGTCCGTGACGTAGGAAGTGATGAAGGAAGTAGTAAAGGTAAGTCTGGAGTGTGGGAACTGTTTATGATGATTAGATTAAGGTATCTACAATCCTGAAATGCTATGGGAAGGAAGGGAAACAGGTCCGTGACGTAGGAAGTGGTGAAGGAAGTAGTAAATGCGAGCAGTCTGGAGTGTGGAAACAGTTTATGACGATTAGATTAAGGTATCTACAATCCTAAAATGCTATGGGAAGGGAGGGTGGCAGGTCCGTGACGTAGGAAGTGCTGAAGGAAGTAGTAGAGCCGAGCAGTCCAGAGTGTGGGAACTGTTTATGACGATTAGATTAAGGTATCTGCAATCCTAAAATGCTATGGGAAGGGAGGAAATAGGTCCGAGACTTAGGAAGTGGTGAAAGAAGTAGTGAAGGAAAGCAGTGTGGAGAGTTGGAACTGGAGACCGTTTGTAGCAGTTAGATTAATGTATCTTGCATCCTAAAATGCTTTGAGAAGGGAAGGAAACAGGTCCATGACGTAGGAAATGGTGAAAGAAGTAGTAAGGCCAGCAGTGCAGAGTGTGGGAACTGTCTTTGGCAATTATGTATCTGCAATTCTAAAATGGTATAGGGAAGGAGGGCAAACAGATCCACGACGTAGCGAGTGGTGAAGGAAGTAGTGAATGCGAGCAGTGTGGAGTTTGGGAATAGATTAATCTATCTGCAATTACTAAATTGCTTTCAGAGTAAACTAATGATTTTCCCCGTGCAAAGCTCGGTCCCCAGGTACTATATATAAATATATGCAGAGCAGAGCTCAGCAAATTCCAACCATATACTTCTGGGAACATTGGTCTGGCCTGGCGTTGAGTCATGGCTAACGGAAGCTTCTAGCAGGTAAATTATACCATAGACTAACAAACACAAGTAGACTTCTCATCCCACTAAATTTTGAAGCTCGTTTTTCATGTCTAGTTCATGCACGCCACACTGGGCGCTAGTGTCGACGAAATTTTGTTTCTATTATTTTAGGGTTAATTCTTGATTTGTGCTTTACTGTTTGGTTAAATAACTAGGGGACAATTTATTGTTTATGATTAGATCGTATCATTTGGTTAAACGAGGTTTTAAATGACTGTATTAACGGGAAACAAATTGTAAACAAAACACGACCTCTACATAAACCGTACAGAACTAACAATAAAATTGTCTTCAGCTGTTCCATTAGGATGAGAAATCTACTGAGGGAGTATGTTTTATCCATGATTATACAAAGTGAAGTTTCCAAAGAGTGCTTTTGAAACTACTTAGTACTTAGTATTTTGTAATCAAGAGCGAATTGATTACTTTCGTCATTTATTTTGCTTAAATTTATTTTCCTTGTGTAATTTACAAACACATTTCGTTCTAATTTAAAATGGAAGTGGTGATGAACTGTTTGTATAGAAATTTCTGCACAGTTTTCACATAAAATTGCAACCAGGCGGTTCAGTTTATGTCTACATTATTCACTGTGTAGTTTTTGTGTTAAACATATTCGATTAATTGGCCAATGTTTAAATTGTGTTTACAGTTTTTTACGGCTTTGAAACTATCAATGTTGTTGTAATTCAATGTTTTAATAACTCTGTCATAACATTACAATTTACACTGATTGTTCTGCCATGCAACTAATCATGTTTGGCAGAAAAAATCACTTCAAAACCCTTGTTTGAATAATGTTTATGAATATTTTGTAATGTTCCTATGCAAATGAAACGCTTAACATAATTTTTCAATTCAATAGGTACATTGAATATTTTACACTTCATTCTTATAGGTTTCTATCAATGAACCTTTTTTGGACCTGTCCAGAATTCTTTAAGCAGAACTTGGTTAGTTTTTACAAAAAGGTAATCGTCTAATTTTTTTGAGAGAAAGAAAAGTGTTTTGCCCTAAAATAGTATAGGATGTATACTACAATGTCAGAAAGATGTGATTTTCTAAGTTCACATCTTCAGTCTCAGTGCTACTTGTATTGACTCAGTTCTTCAATCAGCGGCTTAAGACTTTGAAAGAACTTTAGATACAAAGAAGATCTTGAGATTCTTTACTCTGTCGGATAAAATCCTTTTTAACTTTATACTGAAACCTACACTTTCACTCTTTGTATATTGAAAACATTTTTTTTACTTTCTCCCCCTATACTATTATAGGATACTAGGTGAAACCCGTCGAAATCGACGGTTACTTTCAAGGCTTACGTTAATTCATCTAACTGCGATAAATTGGGTGAAATAAACATATTTTGAGCATTTAGCATTGTTTAAAGAGTAATAAGTGTAAAAACAATAATGATATTAATTGCGTTAGTTGCCAAATTTGGTTGATCATTCAATGAATAAAATATTCCCCATACCGTACGTCATCGGAGTTATTATTAGTATGTTATATGGTTTATCTTTTTTTGGAAGAACTTTTAAATAGGATTAATATCGTATTGATGGATCTTTTGTAGTTTAACACTTTCGTGATTTCATCAGTGAAATATGATTTTATTTCAAAAGAAAATATTTTTTGGAAACACATATTCTAACTTTAAAGGGAGGTATATCCGTTACAGCGTAAGTTAGATTTTTCCTTCGTCACGTCGCGTCAGTTCATATCGTACTTCTGTGCCAATGAACGAACCCTCTAGCATAGTTTTGAGAAATTATTGATTGTGGGGTTACTGTTAAAGCTGGAATTTCTTGACATCGGGGATGTCAGTTGTCTCAGCCTTATCAATAACATAAAGTTGTCAATATAATCTCTCTACGGAATGTTAGGTGTAGTGGAATATACTTTAAGCGAAGTTGGCTTTTATTCTTGTACTGTTAGGAGCCTCCTCGTTTATATGGTCGTGCGGCTTCATTGGCAACAATAATGCAAATGACATAGCAATGGGATATTTCCAAAAAGCAAAAATACTGTAAATTGGCTGTTACGTATATATTGACGTTTACATATTGTTAATCAAACGTATCTTATGAAGGATTATATGATCTAGTTTAAAAGGAATATGACCTTTCTGTCATGACAGTAGCTAATTAAATAGTATTTTCTCTTTGTACCATCTTTTACAGCCAAAATGTCGTGTTATTTTCAAAAATGTTACCAAACCAGTGCGCTAAGTCTGTAAGGCAGGTGCAAATAAGTTGTCAAGATGGGTACCATTTTAGACAAAGTTTGGATTTTATTAAACACGATAAGTGCAGATATTTCTAAATAAATATTAGATATGTGTAGAATAATATGATAAAATGTAGGCAAAAGTGGTGAAAAAGGCAGACGCCAACCCGTAAAATAGATATAAGATAGTTCAATAAGAAATAATTTAAGAATTGCTGTGATAAAAGGATTTTCCACTGATTTTGTAATGGAACGTTATATTGCAAAACATGACATGATAAAAAAGAAAATCAATTTTAAAATCAGAAAATAACATTGCAAATACTTATATTTTAGAATTCAGTAACTCCCAATATGTGTTTTGTTTGAAATTCAATTAAAAAATGAACAGCTGTTTCATTAAAAACCAAGACCTTTCTTTGGATACCTCAATCAAGTTTCTACGTCCAGCCGTTCTCTCAAATTAGTGGGGACAAAGTTTCCAATTAAATATTTAGATTCCCCCATGTTAATCTTATGGGAGAAACTCCAACTTTGATGGCCTGTGGGGCAAAGCCCTAGATTTATATTACAAGAATTGGTGAAAGGGGGCGTCACAAAAAATACTTTATTTTGACACGTCGTTTGTAAAAATCCGTCCATTATTAACGGAGGAGTAGTGTTTCGTAGAAATCGCCTTCACGTATTATATATAAGGATGGAGGAAGTATTGTTTCCGTCAAAATTTTTGAGTTTGAGTTTTGAGTGGAAATACCCGTTTTGGGTCAACCTAAACACCAACAAATTTTACAAATCCCATTCCCAAAAAAATTACAGTCCAAAAGTTATTGTTACTTACGTTATTTTTCCATTTAAAAAGCCATAAAAAAAAAATCTGATGGTACTTTCCTGTTAAGTGGAACATTCATTATTATTGATGAATTTTTTTGATACATTGAAATTTAAATTTAACTCTTTGATCCAATATATCGATATTAACAGATTAAAACATATCAGCTGACAACTATGATAACTTATTGTTCAATATCAACATGAACAATAATACTTACTCCTCATGGGCATTTTGTTTTACTCCCCAGTGGAGATAAAAACATTAAATGCTTGCAAAAAGTAGTTTTTATACATATATGTAGTTGTGCAAAGTTAGAATTTTCTAACCAAGTTGGTTAAAAAGATATTAAGAGGTGTCCAGACTTTTTGAACACCCCATATATAGATTGTTATTAGTCATGTCTTTACACTTATTAAAGAAAAGTATTAGCAATTCTATCAAATTAATATCTTGATCATTGACTTTGACACCAGCACTTTACCTCTTTCAGAGGCTATAATTAATAATTCAACACAAAGTAAAATAAATTATTTATTATAACACAAAACTGCAGTAAAATATAAAGCAATAACACATATTTCTCACAAGCAGGAATATAGAATACAAGACAAAACATTAAATTGTTGCTAAAATATAGGTCATAAGACTATTCCTAAATGTGTTTTATTGGTATAAAAACTATCTAAGACTTCACAAAAATAACATTTTCAAATGGCCTAATATAAGTAAAATATTAACAGTAGAATTAAGTACACTATACTTTATAAATCACTGTTATAAATCTTTTTATTACTCAAAATACCTTTGGCACCAATTATTGTTTATATAAAAACGAGTAGGCCCATTTTTCTTTAAAAAATCTGTAAGAGTAATTAAAGTAGAAATGTAGTTACAGTAGATCCCGCTAATCCGAACTTGGCTAGTCCGACTCCTTACTTAATACACAGAGAAGTAATATAAATCAGTAAATTTCAGTAAAAATCAGTAAATTTTATATTACTTCTCTGTGCTTAATACGACCTATGCCTATCCGTGGCATTCTTACCGCACTAATATCTTGACTATTTGCCATTGTCGTGTGGAAATCATTACCGTCTCCCACAAAAATCTTATTTACGCCGCCATCACGGAAACATAATGATCCTTTTCCGCGATCACGTAAACATCGTCATCCCTCTTGAAAGTGGCAAATATTAAACATCTCACACGGTCACGGGAACATTATTGTCGTCTTCTGCGATGGTGGACAAATACTAGGCAAATTACACGGACACAGAAAAAATGTATTTATGGCAAAATCCTGAACATCCCTTGCGGTCATGTAGACATCATCACCATCTTCCCCAATCATTAAAAAATATATTCCATGGTCATTTAATATATTCTTCCTTCCGTTAATCTGACCTTTTCACTGTTCCGACTATGGTCTCGGACCCATAAGTGACGGATTAGCGGGGTTGTACTTCACTAACAAAACTAGGATTAATGAAACTTTTACATTGATGTTTAAGTATCAAATCTATACAGTTTTAATTTGAATAAAACATGCTCATAGTAATAATAATAATAAGTAAAAATAATGTAATAATAATAAGTAGAAAATTACTCAAAGCAACAATAAAACCAAAACAACCCTCTTTTATAAATGGGTGATATAAAAGTAGTGGATTTTTTTTAATAATGGAGGTATTTTTTTTTTTTTTTTATAGTTGGGAGGTAAAATTCAACACATAATTTACAGTTGAATATTACAGTTGATAGAAAGATTACCTTGTTCTTCAAACTAAAAGCGTTTTGGTAAGGTTGGAATAATGTGAATCGAGGTATATTAAACTCATTCATAGGAGAGTGTAACGTAAATAGATTTTAAATTATTTCAATTTTTTGGATCTTCAAGTTACATTACCATACAGCTATCACATAAGACTAATATTGCTATCACAAGATTGTACTGGTTGATAAAAATCAATGAAGCACAGCAACTGAGGCCTACATATTACAATCTTAGACCTAGTTTGGCTCTAAAGGTGTCAGTTAATATTTGTTATGGAAGTAAATTTTACCTGGAACTACACACATATCAATGCAATTTCAAAAATTTTGCTACATGACAAAGTTGCTACAATAAATCTTACATTAAGGAACAATAGATACTATTTTGAGGTTTATAAATATATTTTATATTGGATACTTTCCTTGTATTTTCATTTGCATATTTTATGGTTAGTTTGTAATGCCTTTGTCACTGTAGACGCAATTGATTTGTAACTTTTTAGGGGAAGTATCGGTTTTTTCATGATTTTAATATAAGTTTAATCTAAGGCCAAATCTTGACTTAACAAACACAGTGAGACCAGTCTGTCTACTTCAGAGTTTATAAAAAAAGGCTCCCAAGTTGAAACTTCAGCTATGTTTTACCACATGTAAAATATAACTAAGTGTATAATGATATTTAATAAAAGGCACACGTTTCAGACTATAATAAATGGGTATATAATATTGTTAAAATTGTAAGGCAGGAACTCTTCTAGCCGAAATAAGCGTTGCAGTTAGTGCAACGTTTGTCCTTCAACGCGAGGCAGCACAAGATACCAAGAGGAAAGAAGAATATGGCACAACAAATACCCAAGCATGTGTAGTCATCCTCGAGCACACCAACCTGCAAACATCAGACATAGGATAAGTACTGTGTAGTCAAGCTATGAACACAAAAAAAGTTGTATAAGGCAGCAAAAACAAGGAAATGCTAACAGGGGCGTTCTAGTACAGTATTATCATAGACTAACCAACACAAGTAGACTTCTCATCCCATTGTAAATTTTGAAGCTCGTTTTTCATGTCTAGTTCATGTATGCCACACTGGGCGCTAGTGTCGACGAAATTTTGTTTCTATTATTTTAGGTTTAATTTCTTGATTTGTGCTTCACTGTTTGGTTAAATAACTAGGGGACAATTTATTGTTTATGATTAGATCGTATTATTTGGTTAAACGAGGTTTTAAATGACTGTATTAACGGGAAACAAATTGTAAACAAAACACGACCTCTACATAAACCGTACAGAACTAACAATAAAATTGTCTTCAGCTGTTCCATAAGGATGAGAAATCTACTAAGGGAGTATGTTTTATCTATGGTATTATCTATTTTATTTGTTAGAGAATGTTTAAAATAGTTTAGGGATATTTTTTACAAAATATAGCTGCAAATTATTACGATGCTACCGTGATTGTGGAAGTGTGGCAAATTATGACAACACTTTGGTGCACTCATAAGTTTTAGAATTGATGCAAATTTAAGTAAATTATTCTGAGAATTTTTATTCAAAGTATGTTTTAACATTGTACTAGTGATCGTCCAGTGGTCAAAAATTTGACCAAAAATATGTAATGTAGACTTCTCTATTTTCACCCCACGCTGCAAATAAAACATGTGCGATTGTACTGTAATTTCTTCCATTTGTTTTGATTTTAGCGAATTTCCCATATAGGGAATAAGCTATTAACGTAGTTCTCATTGTAAGACCTGGACCCGGGACAAATTTATTTTTTCGTTTGAGGCCCTTAGAGGCCAAAAACACCATCCGTTCAAATTCATATATATATATATTTATATATGTGTCCGTTAGCACGATAACTTGAGCAAAAATAATCCCATTTTTATGAAATTTGGTATGAACGTGTAAACCTACATTTATTCAAACAAGTTCGCGAACCAGCATGATCGGACTATTGTATTGGCGGTTTATGGGGGGTTTTATGGGGTAAAATAGGTTTTTCCCATTTTTGACCCTAAAAACGCAAAATTTCACAATTTCTTTCAAAATAATTTTGTAGAGCTTATAAAAACAAATAATTTACCATATTGAAGCTTTATTATGTAGGCTACCTAATGGTTACAGAGAAAATTCCAAAAAAATGTTTATTAAAAATTCCCATGTTATTCTTGTGGAGAATAAGTCAACTGTTGTAGTTTGCTTGATTAGGAACATATTTTGATCAAATTTGGAAAATACATTAATTTCTTACAAAACTATTAACATTTTACAACCGGTACTCGTTAAACTAATTCTATTTAAATAGGGAATAAATGTGATGTTTTTAAGGAGTCATTTTAGTGTAAATTTAATCAGGCAAATGAAAATTTGCTTAGTCTGTCTCTGTAGGTTTGCTGCGGCAGGGGTATTCTGTTTATATTTTCATGTTATTTCGTCACTAGCATAGAAACCCATAAGGCCCATGTTAATTTTTTTTTTATTTTAATTCACTTTTTGTGCTTACTTTTTAACCTAGTTTTTATTTATAGAGGGATCCTGCACATCTACAGGAAAATATATTTCTAACAGTATGCGTAGATATTCCCTGCGATGCAAAGAGCTGAGAAAAAAGTTTTTAAAGAAACATTCTTGCCTATTAATATATAGACTAGAGGACCCTTGCTGCCTCGCAGCGTTAAAATAAATATCATATCCGAGAAATAATCAAATTTATGATTTTTGATTGAGTAATACGGTATCTTGAACAAACGATCAATAGCTCAAATTAAAGCCTATAATTTACTGATTATTTTGAGCCTAAAACATATAACAAAACATAAACTATGGGCGGGTTTCCGAGCTCGGGAATACGTAATCCTGGAGTTACTTAATCAGTGAATAAAGTTAGTCATCGAATAAAAAATCGGGTTTCAGAGCTCGCGAACTAACTCCCTAGTCCGCAGACTAGTCTATTCGACGACTAACTTTATTCGCCAACTTCTGGACTACTTATTCTAGGACTAAGGTAGGAATCACGGGGAATTTTAGTTTTTGAGTGGTGGTAGGGGCAGCGGACAGACGAATTTAAGACGATACCTGCCAAAGTTGTTCACGGTCAGCGCTCATAGCTACATTAGTGTCTACTCTCTAGTCTGGTTCTAATCACTTATCAGTTGGGATAATGATTCCTTGAGTTTCACTGAAGATGGTAACTAAAAGAAGATATCGTGTTCAAAAACGTATGCCGAAATAAAAAACCCAGTTATGTGAACAATCATTTACAAAAAATACCCCCGCCGCAGCAAACCTGCAGACTAAGCGAATTTCCATTTCCCTGAATGGATTTACACTAAAATGTCTTTATAAAAATATCACATTTATTCCCTATTCAAATAGAATCAGTTTAAAACATACTTAGGTTTGCTGCAACAGGGAGGGTAAAAGTGTTTTTTATGTAGAATGTTAATAGTTAGTAAGAAATAAAAACATTTTCCAAATTTGGGCAAAATATGTTTATAAACAAGCAAACTACAACAGTTTACTTATTCTCCATAAGAATAACATGGGAATTTTAAATTTACAATTTTTTGGAATTTTCTCCGTAACCATTAGGCGCATTATAACGCTTCAATATACTAAATTATTTGTTTTTTTAAGCTCTACAATATAGTTTTGAAAGAAATTGCCAAATTTTATGTTTTTTGGGTCAAAAATGGGAAAAACCCATTTTTACCCCATAAAAGCCCCCATAAACCCCCGTTCCCATGGTCCGATCATGCTGGTTCGCCAACTCGTTCGAATAAACGTAGGTTTACACGTTTGTACCAAATTTTATCAAAATCGGATCATTTTTGCTCGAGTTATCGCGCTAACGGACACATATATATATATATATATATATATATATATATATTATATATATATATATGAATTTGAACGGATGGTGTTTTTGACCTCTAGGGACCTCAAAACGAAAAAAAAAATCGGTCCCGGGTCCAGGTCTTACCGTGAGTACTACGGTAATAGCTTATTCCCTATATGGGAAATTCGCTAAAAACCTGAAGGTTTATTTATTGCTGTTCAGTTTGATAAAAAAAACTTCCCGATTGAAGAATAAGGTGTCAAATGTGTTAGCCTATGCCTTTACTTTGTCCAAGTTATTTTTTTATGAGAATCTAAATACCCCCGCCGCAGCAAACCTGCAGACTAAGCGAATTTCCATTTGCTTGATTGGATTTACACAAAAATGTCTCCTTAAAAATACCACATTTATTCCCTATTTAAATAACATTAATTTAACGAGTAGGCTACTTAGGTTTGTTGCAACAGGGAGGGTAAAATGTGTTTTTTTTTTATGTTAATAGTTTAGAACGAAATGAATGCATTTTCCAAATTTGATCAAAATATGTTCATAAACAAGCAAACTACAACAGTTTACTTATTCTCCATAAGAATAACATGGGAATTTTAAATTTACAGTTTTTTGGAATTTTCTCCGTAACCATTAGGCGCATAATAACGCTTCAATATACTAAATTATTTGTTTTTTTAAGCTCTACAAAATGCTTTGTTTGAAGTTCATTGTTGGTGATGGTGAGTTAATGTTGTTCAAAGGTTTATTGCGGACATTTTCCATCACGAAAGTAAAAAACAATACACAACGTTTCGGGATCTGGAATCTGATCCCGTCTTCAGGTGAAAAAACTTAACTAACACATTACAACTAACAATACACAAACGCCCAACCTAAGTTGGAATACACTACCGAGGGTAGTAGTCAAAAAATATGCACTGTATAGCAGTCAAGTCATGATACAACATGCAATTAATAACAAATCACAAAACACTATAATCTATAAAAGGTTTACGTACAAAAAACTCACACAATGGAACACTAACAACACCGTACGCTATGACTCCACCAATGAAACTGAACCAACATGGCTGACCAATCGGAAACACGGAGACAACAGAAATGGCTTCCGGTCCCTGGAAAAGTAAAACCAACAGAATGGCGGAGCGATGTACAATGCCGCAAGATGGGTGTTAATTATGTTTATTCCTATCACGAGTTTTACTACGAGTTAACATAACGTGCGAATTTTGAGGAGAACTCGTTATTTCCCTATTTATTGAACAATTAAGTTCCCTATCCTTTAGTTCCTTGTTCAAAATGGGTAGCCAAAGTGGCCTTATTTCAACCGATGACTGACTGATTGGTTGGTCTGCTAATTTAATGTATGAGGCTTCAATGAGTTTACGTTTGAAAAAATGAGGTTCCTTATGGACAATTTTTGCCTCTTCAAAATTCATACGATGATTTTCGGACCAGCAATGATGAGCGATCTTAGATTTTTCCACTAAACCTTTTTTGGTGTTTTCTCTGTGTTCTTTGATTCTAATGTTCAATGGTCTTTTTGTCTCGCCATAGTAAGGCCTGGAACAATCATTGCAATTTATTCTGTAAACACAGTTTTTAGTATCCTGAGTGTCATTTTTGGGTTTTGTTTTGACGAGACTCTGCCTAAGTGTGTTTTGTGTCCTAAATGCTGTTTGCACATTAAATTTCCTAGCAACCCTTCTGATCTTTTCCGACAGTCCTGACACATACGGGATTGACATGTGGACGAGTTTTTCCTTACGATTTTGTAAAGGTTCACGCGTAGCCCTATCTTTCTTGCATTTGTTTATAATGGATCGAGGGTATCCGTTACTAGCCAAATCCTGTTCTACTTTCTTAATTTCATCCTTTAACTCATCCTGATTGGAGCAAATGCTCTTAGCCCTGTCAAACAGAGAGTAAGCAACCCCCTCCTTGACAGAAATTTGGTGGTTTGATTGAAAGTTTAGATACTGCCCTGTGTGTGTCTTTTTTCTATAAACAGATGTTCTAAGACTGTTCAA